TAAGAGTTTTAAATATATTAAGAGTATAATTATTATTTTTTTATATGAATTAATATTACAAAAACAGTACACCGAATCCTAAATAAAACAAAAAGTAACATAGGTTAAAAATAGGTGAATTTGTTTCTTGCCTTAGGCGTATGGATGATTTCAAACAACAAAATGCTTTATATATTCATAATGGATAGGCATTATGAAGGTTTAGACAAGCGCTTACATTTTTAGGGCATGTGACATGGACAAAGGTTTATGTAATTTTATGATAAAAGAATCAAAAGGACAGGCTTTGCACATGAAATTACTCATCTTTTACAAAACTTTTGGGAAATATATGCGAAAATTCTCAGACAATAGTAATGTATATGTTCGGTGTATGTGTCGAACGTGAAACATAAAAAACATGTGCCAATAAATTATATACTTTATAATCTATTTATTAAAAAGTTTTTTTTTTATAAAATTAAAAGTAAGAAATGTAATCATATATCTAATATTAAAAAATTAATTAAATTCCCTACATTCATATTATATTTTATTCTGACAAACTGTATAGAATGAATTATTGCAGAACTTAAATTCTCATAAAACTCCAACATCTCATATCATTATATGTTCATCTTTATGCAAAATGAACACCAGTGATTGGAGCAAAAGGCAGCACATATGTCTTTCTAACAAGCAGACTGGATCAAACAAAAGATAACACAAGTTCTGCGTCACATCTCCCTCATTGTTTGCTCCTGCAGGAATATTATCCCCAATGGTAAAATAATGACATAACACAGAGCCAAGTCAAGTGCAGGATTTTCATCCGGATCATCCGGGACACTGCGGCAGAATTTGGCAGCAGAGATAAAAAGGTACTGTAAAACACCAGAAAGAGCATTTCAATTTTTGGGCCAGATTCGTTGCCCAATTCTTTTATCCTATGAAATGTGATGGCCAATCTGCCACCAAACCAGTTTCGGTTGTAAGACTTATAATTTGACACATGAATAATGTGCTGCAGGAATATTATCTCCAATGGTAACAAAGGACCCCCTTTTTTATGTGAAAAAGACCCCGTACCAAGAATTATAATTTCACACATGAATTATGTGCTGATTTGTAAGAATACATTGAAGAGTTATCAAATTTAGAACTTTTTTTTTTTACAGTTGAACCTTCAACGATTTTTAAAGTCAGACAGATTTTTTTCCTACTTGTAAATTTCATTGTTGTCGGTGTTGATATAGACATGTAGAATGGGACTCTCCATCTTTCTTCTCGTCCAATTAATCCATTGATATTTTATGAAAAAACCAAAAATTAATTTCACATGTGTACTTATTATAAGACAAATTTTCTCATTTTGATAGAGAAATAAATTACTACAAAAGAAGACCAAAGTCTCCGCAAGAGCAATAATGCTTCTCAGCTATTAATTCTACTGTTTTTAGCAATATTTTTCTGCGCTTTTCAGAGGTCTGGTGGCTATGGCGGCTTCCTCCTTATTCTCAGCAGCTGTAAGAAGGTATGTTACTCTTACTCAAAAATCTGATGATGAAATTACAAACGACTTTTAAAGGGTAAGCCTTGATATGCTGACTCAGGCTTGAAGGGAAGGTTGCGATCATCACCGGCGGTGCCAGCGGTATTGGTGAGTGCACCGCAAGAATCTTCACCAGGCATGGAGCAAAAGTGGTGATCGCCGACATCCAAGACGATTTAGCCAAATCCGTCTGCAACGATATCGGCCCTGAATCTGCTTCCTTTGTCCACTGCGACGTGACCAAGGAAGGGGACGTTAAAAATGTGGTCGATACCACTGTGTCTAAGTTCGGAAAGCTTGATATTATGTTCAATAACGCTGGTATTCTTGGTGGTGATGCGAAACCCGACATTCTGGATAACGACATCTCCGAGTTCGAACAGGTCTTCAGGGTGAACGTCGCGGGAGTTTTCCTAGGGACAAAACACGCGGCACGCATGATGAAACCGGCTCGTCGCGGCAGCATAATCAATACCGCCAGCATCTGCTCAGTTACAGGCGGCGTTGCCTCTCACGCCTACACCAGCTCAAAGCACGGCGTGTTGGGGCTGACCAGGAATGCTGCGGTGGAGCTGGGACAGTATGGGATCAGGGTGAACTGTGTGTCACCGTACCTGGTACCAACTCCGTTGGCTAAGAACTTCTTCAAGATGGATGATGAAGAGTGCCTTAACGTGTATAAGAATCTGAAGGGGGCAAATCTGGAGCCGGTGGATGTGGCAGCCTCGGCGCTTTTCTTGGCGAGCGATGAGTCTAAGTACGTGAGTGGGCACAGTTTGATCATTGATGGGGGCTTTACCATCACCAATTGTGGTTTCTCCATTTTTGGTCAAGATGAGATGAATGAGTGATTTATTTTGCGGCAAAAGGTGCAGATCACCCCCTAAACTCAACAACTGGTGGCAAATCACCCCCTCAACTCACTTGCAGTGGCAAATCAACCCCTCTCTTAACGTTTCTGTTAACATTTAACAGTTTGCACATCAGCCCTTCCTCTGGGTCTGACGTGGCCTTGTTTTTGCTGAGATAGATGCTGAGATGGAGGTGCCACCTAGACAAATACCCCAGAATCATCAAATTATGCAAATTACTTTTATGCCCTTAAATTGTTTAGGGAAATAAAATTGGGGATCTGAGGGTCTGGGGTTTTACTTCTGCTAGCTTCTATCGTCTTCTTCCCTTCCTCGTCCTTTCAAAAATTGAACACTATTTCTTTAAGATCTGCAAGTCATTGAGCGTCGCTTCTTCATCAAGCTCTGAATTGTCAATGAAATTACCATATTTTGAAGAGACATTGTTGTACAATTTTCTTCAAAATTTGAGGGTCTCGGAGTCGGCCCTCTTGATGATTGAACAGGGTATAAATTGAATGGACCAAAGTTGGACTGTCTTCTTGGAACCCCTGAATTCCCATCATGGAATAGAAATCGGAATGGTTGAAATTCGAACCTCTGGGCGTTGGATTCCGGGATGAACTTAAGCTTGTATATCTCAACACCGGTAAGATTGGATGGCCGTGGCGTCATTGCGAAGGAACGGTGAGAAGTGTTTGATTTCCTCAAAGTGACATGAAGCTTCCCGTCTTCTACAATTTCAGTGTCGGTTTCTAGAAATTCCAGTCCATGGAGTGAGACAACGTCGGAATCCACCTTGAAAGAGAATCGAGCGGCAGTCTTCGAGAACTGCTCCATGATCAGGATCTTGGCACCATGGTACTCGAAGAGAAAAAGAAGCAGAGTGTACCAGATGATGCATTGGAGAACCACCACCTGGACCATAAGGCTGTCGGAGTCCTGGCCGTACATGGCGATCAACAGTGGAATGCCTATGACCAGAGTATTGGGCAGAGTAAAGAGTGAGAAAATGGTTATCATCCACTCCAAGCTTTCGTTCCTAGTGAAATTCGTCCACACCATATGGAAGACGAGCATGATAATCTTCTGAAGTGTATCGGCGACAATGAACCTGTAATTCATTTTGTACAGATTGTTGGTGGAAATAAAGTGGAAAGACGAGCAGGACAGTGAATATCGCGACAAAACGGTTGATGCCGGAGTACTGGTCCGGCGAGAAAATCTTCCACCAGCGAATCGACCCGTATGCCAAGATCATCGCTACGT